CAACTCCTAACAATGGCCAAGTGTAACCAATGAAAGGGACTGCAGTATAGTGGCTCAAGTAATAAATATCGAATCCACGGGTCTCTAGAGTTACTATTACTCAGCTTCAGTTCATTATCTAGCAAACCAGATTAAGATGAAAGAACTAAAACTACTCTACCAAACTACAGTTAAAGTTAATCTAATTACAGGTTGGGAACTCACTTAGGTATGATTCCCCCTAGCCACTAGCCAGATTAATGATTGATGATCTCTTACCTGCTTCACTTTCATTCACAATGCGGAGAATCCTTAACTAGACCTTGAGTCTCGACTAAAGGAACAAGGCCCTCTTGAGTCAATTGCCTAGAGGGACGTATCCTTCTCTAGAACAACTGATCAAGGCGTTCTGAACTAGATTCCCTCTATCGAATGAGGTTCTCAATCGATACAAAGCATTGAATCAACCCTCGACTAAAGCAATCGATCCAATACTATCAATCTATGGTGCTCTATTGACCTAATCAGGTATTCGCTCTCATAGGATCAAAGCAGAATCAATAATCTCGACTAAAGCAGAATTGAATCGTGAAAACATGCATAGATTGAATATGAACTCAAGATTATCAAGTCAGAGTACTCATACAATCATCCAATCAAACAAACATGGCTAGGGTTCCTCAAAACCTAAGTGAAGGGAAGTTACTCCATAGAGAAGAGAGAGACTGCAGTAAGAATCTTCAGATGATCAATCTTCAAGTCCGGGCTTGATTCCCGAGCTCCAATGGCGAAGAAATCCTCCAAAATAGCTCCAAGAATGTTCCCAAGTCGCTCTCTCTCTCTCTAGGGTTCGTCCCTTGGGTGTTTGGGATCCAAAACCCAGCTCTCTCTCTCCTTTGGCTCGAATTTGGGTTAAAAAACCCGATTCTGGGCAAAACACGGTCGCGGGCACGGCCGTGCTTTGCTTTTGACCGCCCGTGTTTTGCCCCGTGTTAAAAACACGCTCGGTCGCGTCGGTCAAAACACGGTCATGCCTAAATATGGGCACGACCGTGTTTTGATTTAGGCGCGCCCGTGTTTTTACTGCCGAACCTGTTCCCCTATATTCAATGCTTCGTTTCTCCCTCGTCCGGACTCCGAATCAGTCGCCGTTTGATCCCAGACGCTCGTAGTCTCGTCCTCTTTCTTTGCATGACAAGCTTGCATGATTCTTTGTCCATAAAGTGAGGTAGAAATCCATTCTTCTTCAGGTCATGCCCGAGTTTCTGCTCCCGAATCGCCAATTGATCTCTGATTGACTTGAAACTTGCGCCTATGCTTCACTTTATGTGCTAGGACCTGAAATGTGACAAAGGAACACAACCTAGCGTAAAATAGGCCAAAGACACGGTAATTCAAGCTCAAACAATCAAGAAACAAAGGGGAAAACATGTGCAAATACCGAGTCATCAAGTTTATTTTTATATTTTAAATATGATGTGGCATCCACGTGGTCTGATCAGTCTAGGTGGAGTCCACATCAGCTTTTTATTCACTTAATTGGCGGAGTTCCTAACGACGTTAAAGTTTATAACGGAAATTGGTAAATTTGTCAACCTAGTATCAAAAGTGTGATTATATTTGTGTATTTTTTGAAATTTGGCTATTATTGTCAAAAAGTGGATAGTTATGTATATGGAGGTGTATTAAGTCTATAAAAATGGTAATGTATTTGAAATACATGCGTTTGGATATGTGAATTTCAAATATAAGGTATTTGAAATACATGCATTTGAAATGGATATATTTGAAATACTAGCATTTGAAATACATGTAATTCAATATTGTTGTTTGGAAACTTTTTTGTAATTTGTTGTATTTTGAATTTTATGATTTTCTTTTTGAATTTTGAATTTTTTGGTCACTTAATAATTGTTTTGGTAAATTAAACTTTGGTACCCAAATTTATTTTTTTCTTAAAATTTAGTACCTAAAGTTTTAAAATTTTACAAAAATGTCATAAAATTTTGATGGTAAAATTACGTTTTGGTACTTGTATATGTTTTGCCTCAAACTATAGTATCTAAGCTTTTAATATTTTACAAATATGTTCAATCTTTTGTTAGGAGGTAATTCAAATCACTAGTTGTTGAAATGCATTTGAAGTTGACAAGTAATACACTAGACATGTATTTGGAAATCACCTATTGAATTTGACACAAATCCAAATACCAAATGTAATTAATATCCAATAACATGATTTGATATTTGGAAATCCAAATCACAAATACCAAATCTAAATCATTCTATCCAAACGCACCCTAATGAGAAGTGGAATAAGATTGTCAGCTAGTCATCAAGCAGTCGAGGAGTCACAACCAGTCATGGTTAAAGTGGGTCGGATCTGTGAAGAATTAACGGAAATGAGACAATTTTTTATGAGTAAATCGAGTGGTGTTTTGAGGGTCGAGAGATGGATGATTCGGCCCATACTATGGCCCAAAAATAATATGGGTGAGATGAGAAAGAAGTATGAGTAGATAGACCACTAGGGATGGCAATGGGTCGGGTTGGGGCGGGTTTTGTCAAACCCAAATTCATGGGTTTATCCGCCAAAAAAACCTGGGGTAAAATCCGTTGAGTTTGAAAAACTCAAACCCAACCCAACCCGCTGGGTATCCGCGGGTTCATGGATACCCGTGGGTTTTTGTGGTAAAAAATTTCAATAACAAGTTTCTTTCAAAATAAAAGTTTAACACAATTTTCTCATACAAATTAATCATACAAAAAAACACCAATCTAGAGCATACAAGCTGTTTGACCCATCTAGCTCCGGATCGAACAATGATATTTGTTGGTGTGGGTTGACTCGTCATCCGTGCGTCTGATCTCGTCGGGAGGGAGTGAACCTGTGAAAGAGCTGGGGTTGCCCCCCGGATTAAGCTCCGACGGTCAAGTTAGTGTCGGTTGTAGAGAGAGTTGAGAGAGTAGATAGAGAGATGGAGTGTAGAGAGATAGTAGAAAGTGTAAAGTGAGGAGAGAGAAGAAGTCCCCCTTCCTTGGTGGGTTTCATACCTTTATATACTCGTAGCGGGTTTAGAGCGTCATACGTTGTCAATTGGACGCGGTATTCCTTAGTCTCTGCGGGGAGCCACTTAGCAACACCCCCAACAATTGCCCCCCAAGCTGGTGGTGAGTTTTAACTCATCACTAGCTTATATTTTATTTTTTTAAATCTTTGTCGGTAATTTTGGGTGGGGCCTATGTACCCCAGTTGCCCCCCAGCTGGTGGCGCGTTTGAGTGACGCGGTGCCAGCTTCTTGCGTCTTGCCCCCCATTAGCGCCATTAACGCTTAGGATAGTAAAATGTTTTAAAAATTTAATAACGATGGAGGGATAGAGTACTTAGCTTTATATTGGCAGTGGCGGCAGGAGTAGTTGAAAGGCAGGCGCTGCGCCCTTGAAACAGAACCTGAGTGGTACCCTGCAGGTTGTTCTTTCGAACTGGGCGCGAATAGTGCTGGACTATTGCTAATTTTTGTTCTTTCGAACTAGGCGCGAATAGTGCTGGACTATTGCTAATTTTTTGTTCCGTGGAACTGGGCGCGAATAGTGCTGGACTATTGCTAATTTTTGTTCTTTCGAACTAGGCGCGAATAGTGCTGGACTATTGCTAATTTTTTGTTCCGTGGAACTGGGCGCGAATAGTGCTGGACTATTGCTAATTTTTGTTCTTTCGAACTAGGCGCGAATAGTGCTGGACTATTGCTAAGTTTTTTGTTCTTGCGAACTGAGTGGGCGCGAATGTTAAAATTCAGACGCCACACCGTTGAAACACAAGGTACTTGTGGCCTGCTGGTAAGGATGCTTGCCTGTCGGATGAGTGGCGCGGGTTCGAAGTCTGGCGACGACTACATTATTTTTAAGTAGTGCGCCTGTTGAATGCGGGCCGCGAGTGCGCTTGGGAGCGAGCAAGGGTGCAGGAGGTTTTAAGTTGGCCGCGCGCCATTGAAACACAAGGTGTGCGTGTAGCCTGCTGGTAAGGATGCTTGCTTGTCGGAGGAGTGGCGCGGGTTCGAAGTCTGGCGACGACTACATTATTTTTAAGTAGTGCGCCTGTTGAATGCGGGCCGCGAGTGCGCTTGGGCGCGAGCAAGGGTGCAGAAGGTTTTAAGTTGGCCGCGCGCCATTGAAACACAAGGTGTGCGTGTAGCCTGCTGGTAAGGATGCTTGTGTAGTGGAGTGATGGCACGGGTTCGAGTCCTCGCGATGATGATGTTTTTTGACGCGAGTTGGTGATGGCGCGGGTTGATTAATATGAGAGTACTGCGCCCAAGTATCACCAAGCGCATCTGTAGTCTGTTGGTGATATGACTTGTCTGGCTGAAGAGTGAACGCGGGTTCGATTACCTGCGGGAGCATCAAATTTTTTGGTTACCGGGGTGTATGGCTCGACTCCGACGCGGGCTGGGGGAGGGTGCGGCGCGGGCCGCGACTATGGCCTGGCGCGACGCGGGCCGGGCCCATCTGGCGTGGGAGCGGGGCGGCTGGAATCCACAGGCCGGATGGTGGCGCGACGCGGGCTGGGGGGAGGCTGCGACGTGGGCCGGGCCCATCTGGCGTGGGAGCGGGCAGGCTGGACTCCACAGGCCGGATAGAGTGAGATAAGTGCCGCGCGGCCGCCAATTCCTTTCTTTTCCTTTTCTCCTTTTCCCAAACTTCTCCGCTCAAGCTACCTTTTTTTTTTTTTTTTTTTTTTTTTTTTTTTACGATGGAGATGAAGCGCCAGGGACGGACTCGCGCGTCGGGATGGAGGTGGCGGACTGTCTGGGATTTTTTTGTCTGGTTGTCCGGCGCGAAGAGCTGTGCTGGCGGACAGGTCACAGGAGTGCCGGATTTCGGCTACGGCGTCCATGACTTCAGCGGGAACGTTGGGCGCCAGGCAATTGAAAGCTGAGGCGAGGACAGAGAGTCGGGAGAACCGAGCTCGTGGAAAGTAGAGGTGAAGTTCCCCAATTGATTTCTTCCTCCCGCTCGCAGGCTTAGGCGCAGCTTCGTTGTGGAAGGCGCGTTTTGGGACTACCAGACGCTGCCTCGATAAACCCGTTGTTTGCCTCGAGAACTCCACCTGTCTTTTCCTTCTGACAAGCAGAGAGAGCAACACCATTTTTTTTTTTTTTTTTTTTGGAGAACCAGTTGGATGTGACAACTCCTTGCGCCCACAACTTACTCTCTTTCTTCTCAGAGCTTCGGCGCCGAATCCATCTCGGATGGTTGGAATCTGGGAAAATGGTGGGTGGTGTGGCGTTTGTGGAAACTTCTTCGTCGGCTGCTTTTTCTGGGCGGTGAGCTTGGACGAAGTGCTGACAGGCGGTTTGTTCGCCGGAGACGAGACGTTGAGCCTCGTGGTTGTGAAAATTGGGCGGGATGGGGTTTTGGAGGGGACGACTGGGAAGGGAAATTTGGGCGAGGGAGAAGCGGAAGCGGTGGACTTCCTTGATAACTCCCTTGGTCTGTTTCTCAGCCCATGCATTTACTCCATTAGCTACTTCAGCAGCCTTGGTTTGGAAATCAACTTGATCAGAAGCAGCCTTGTACACATTGTCCACAACCTGTTTGAAAGAAGGCCTGAGAGAGATCGACTTGTCCACCCAGACCCCATTAGCGAAAGACACGCTCGGACCTCCAGCACCGCTTCCGTCGGCGAAAACCACGGAGACGAGCTCGGAAGAGAAGGCGTTGAGGTGTTCGCCGGACTTTGTCTTCAGGTAAGAGAGCAACTGATCCTGAGTGGTCCCCTTGGAGCCGGCGGCGATGAGGCTCAGCACGACGTGGATCGACAGCGGGGAGAGCACCGTGTTGGAGTTCTTGGCTTCCGTCGTCAGCAGGACTTGCTTGGAGAGTGACAAAGCGACGTCGGTTTGACTGGCGATCAACTCGCGGAGATCCATACTGGAATTTCTGGTGGCGGAGGAGCGGGGGAAACGGTAGAAATGATCGGCGGAGGATCTGGATAAGATCGGCGGCGAGAGGAGAGGAACGGCGGCGGCCATGGATTGGGTTTTTATTGTTATTCGTTTGGTGGGGGAAAAATGGATGGTAGTGCGGTTGTCGGAGAGGGGTTGGCTCGCCGGAATCTGGGTTGTTGTTCTTCATTCAATTTTTTTTTTTTTTTTTTTTTTTTTTTGCCGGGACCTATGCGCCGCCGTTGCTGCGAGTTACAGCAGCTGTTTTCTGACCTTCCCAGCTCTGGGTTTTGGGTTTTTGGCTCGTCTACTGCGATCTTCCTCCTCAATCCCAGATCTGTTTTTTTTTTTTTATTCTCCCTTCCTTTGGACGCCAGAGTTGGAGGTTTCAGGGATAATATGTTGACCAGATTCTTTCTTCAGCCTCGCATCCCTCAGAAATCAAACGAACAGATGTTGAAATCTGCCCCACGGTTGGCGCCAATTGTTTGACCCATCTAGCTCCGGATCGAACAATGATATTTGTTGGTGTGGGTTGACTCGTCATCCGTGCGTCTGATCTCGTCGGGAGGGAGTGAACCTGTGAAAGAGCTGGGGTTGCCCCCCGGATTAAGCTCCGACGGTCAAGTTAGTGTCGGTTGTAGAGAGAGTTGAGAGAGTAGATAGAGAGATGGAGTGTAGAGAGATAGTAGAAAGTGTAAAGTGAGGAGAGAGAAGAAGTCCCCCTTCCTTGGTGGGTTTCATACCTTTATATACTCGTAGCGGGTTTAGAGCGTCATACGTTGTCAATTGGACGCGGTATTCCTTAGTCTCTGCGGGGAGCCACTTAGCAACACCCCCAACACAAGCAAACCGCAAATGATCAATACAAATTGTTCAAAATTAAAGATAAAGATCTATAAACAAAAGATAAATTGAAAGCTTCTTCTTCATCAACTAAGTTTCTTCACTCTCCACTTCATAATATCAACTTCATTCTAAACAATTAGAAAAAACAAATTATACATGTCTCCACAAACATAAAGAATATTAATTGTTTAATGAAGATATATTATTTAGAATATTAAATATACCGGAAAAGTAATTATATGTGTTTGGGCGGGTACCATGGGTCAGGTTTACCTAAACCCAAACCCAACCCGACCCGGTGAATAGTATAGCGGGTTTAAACCCGAACCCGACCCAAAACCCGTCAACACGGGTTTTACCCGCGTTGACCGGATTGGGTCGGATGGGTACCCGTGGGTTCGGGTTTTGTTGCCATCCCTATAGACTACTAGTTTTTCTTGTGCCTCTTGACTGTATTGTTTCAAAGTACACTCTATCATAAATGAAATGATATAGAATTCTATAAAAAAAATTTAATTGACTATTATCACTCCGCTAAATTGATATTGCGAAAATTTCCAATTGATTTACTATAATTTTTACTTTCTTTTGGCATTCTGAATATCAAACCTTAATTTTGATTGCATGATTTTTCTCAAGGAAATAAACTATTAATCAAGGTTTGCCCGCTCTATAAAATGCTAATTATTATATATGTTTTCCACATGTATAAATCAACATTTCTCTGATCTTTACAAATAATCAAATATTATGTATTAAAGTGTAATTGTTATGTCACTACCTATGAGTAAAGTTTGCTTCTTAATTCAAGCCCGCACTAAGCGCGGGTAAGTCGGGTAATACCCGTACGGATATGAGGCAAGATAGTTCAATCATTTTTATATGTTATTTGAAAAAAGAATGACAATATTCAACTCTTTTATAAGAACACATAGAGAAAATACTTTATAAATGGATGAGAAATGTAGAATGACTAATTGAGTCTAAATAAAATAGTTGAAATTAGAGTCTAAAATTTTTTAGGGATGGAATTATATTTTAGAAAGGTCTAAAGATGAGAAACACATTATATATTGTTGCAAATAATGATAAATAGATGCAAGACGGAGCGGGACAAGGTGGAAGCAATACCCATGACCTACCCATATGCTATTGTGGATCGAGTAATACCCGCTCCAAAAAGGTTGGGACAGGTCGGGTCGAGCGGATTAGGTTGAAAATTGTCATCACTGTGAAGCATGTTATGAAGACTAATGGTCAAGAAATGATCAAGATATGAAGGGTAAAACATGTATGAATATGGACTTAAGGGTTCCTGCTGATACGACATCGGCCAAGGAGAAGGATGATTGGGTAACAAACAATGCCCTGGTTATGACATGGTTGTTGGGTTCGATGAAGTCCTCCATTTCCTCGAGTTTATGGGTTTTTACTAATGCTCATGATATGTGGAAGCATATTACTAGTCTTCATTCGAAGGCTATTGCTTTTCGCAAATTTGAGTTGGAGTGTGAAATGACGCGTCTCGAACAGGGGGATTTAGATGTGCGTTCTTATTATCAGGTTGCTGTGAGTCTTTGGACAGAGCATGAACTTCTTACTACGTCTCTGGTTTCTTCTACTGCTTCGGCTGAATCTCAAGGAACGATTCTGGTTGAGGAAACCACGTTAATCCTTGTTCCGCTTTTCGCGATCAGATTTTAGCGTTTAACATAATGTTCCCATGCTTGTTGTCACGCCTTCTCTGATAGGGGAAAAGAAATGGCTAGAGTGTGGCTGGATTTTAGTTTTTCAATATTGACATTAATAAATTACCATAAATAAGACAAGTCAAAAGCAGGCCGGATCGAAAAATTAGAATCTGGACAGGCCGAAGGAATCGATTGGCTGATTTGGGTCCAAATGTACACATTTTACCCCTCATTTCTTGTCCGTCTTGTTTAGTATATCATCATCCCTCGACCTATTTTACGCTAGGTTGTGCTTGTTTTGTTACATTTCAGGTCCTAGCACGTATGGGAAGGTCGAGGACGAGTTTTGGGTCGATTGGAGGTCGAAAAGCGCCAAAAAGTGAAAAACGCCTCGTGAAGTGCGGAGGTTCCAGAGCGTTTTTACAATTCACTGGCGCCAAGTCAGTTCACGGTCACAAGACTGTGAACTCAAGCCAATGACTGTGAACTGAGTTAGTGAAGCGACGCATTTTGACTCGAGTTCACGGTCTACGCTTGATGTTCACCACTGCGTAGTAAGACTGTGAACTGAGCCCAATCTAGGTATTAAAAGGGCTTTGAGCTTAAGGAAATGGGGAGAGTTGGTTTTTGGAGAGGAAATAGTTTCTTTATCTAGGGTTTCGACCCAAAACACCGAAGGGGAGTTCTAGAGAGAGAGAGTGAGTTCTTGAGTGATCTTTGAGCTTAACTAAAAGCATTGATCCAACTTGAAAGCAAGGAATCAAACCTAGAAAAAGAATGGAATAAAATATGTTCAATTACCAAGCTTGACATCTTTTAGTAATCTCAGTGACCAATCAGGAAATTTATCCTAAATAAATTGACCTAGAGATATAATTATAAAGTTGATGACAATTAGTAAAAAACTTGAGGGTAAATAACATCACCCAAGATTTATTTGGATACAAATCCGAAAAGCCTAGATATGGAAGAAGATTTCATTTGAAGAGTTTGATGAATGCCAAAAAGGGAAGAGAGAGATCTATAAAATTTATGATGGAGATTCACCACTCCAAATGACAGCATTTTGAAATTAATGCTGGTATGAGAGGATTTTTCGGAAGGGCAGTAAGGACATTTCTCCAACTAAAAATGAAGCGGTGGGTTTCGGTGCAGTAAGCCCAACAAAAAAAGCTCATGTCCGCACAAGTCCCTCTTCTATATCTGCTACGGGTGGGCTCTTTTACTCTCCACTAATTTGGTCCCGAGTTGGGCCTTCCCGTGTGTGGACATGAGCATAGGTGTGAACACGAGCATATGACTATAGGTGTCAATCAGGCGGGTTCGGGTAAAGTTCAATCAAGTTTCGGGTTAGTTGGGTTTTGTGTTCATCGGGTTGTGGGTTTGTCGGGTTGAGGTTGATCGGGTGGCGGGTCATTCGGATTACAGGTTGATCGGGTTACGGATCAATCGTGTTGCGGGTTGATCAGTTGCGGGTCAGTAGGGTTACGGGTTCATCGAGTTACTAGTCGGGTCAGCGTATTGTTATACTTAACTTCCACTAATTTGAAACATTTTTTTGCACCTTAAAATTTTTTTTATTTCTACCATATATGTCGTTATAAAAGTTGTTTTAGAAGTACTTATAAAAGTTACCGAAGTGCTATATTAATTTTTTTCTTCTTTTATTAAATTCCCACAATAAATGAGACAAATTCGAAATAGTAATTTTATTAATTAGCTAACCATTTACAAAAAAGTGCCCTCAAACCCTTTTATCCCCTCCAAAACACCAGCATCTCTAGTAGGGCTGCAAATAAACCGAATTGAATTGAGTTTTGATCTCAGCTCAAATTCGTCACCAGCTTTTAACTATCAAGTTCAAACTTGACTTGTCACACAAATCCCCAACTCGAGCTTGGCTCACACTATGCTCGAAAGAGCTTGACAATAAGCTCACGAGCCAAGCTCAGTAGGAAAAATTGACTTCGTAGAGCTTTACCAACCCAAACTCTATTAGACCGCAACAAAGCAGGCCATAACTAGAAGAGAATCAAAAAATTTGGCCTAAATATTCCGGACCGATAAATTGGTTTCCTTAAATCTTACCAAGAGAATGGAAGGCCATCCACTATTATATTCTTGAATGGAATATAGGATTCCTCTCCCTCCTCGATATGGTAAAACAAATGACATTTGCTCTCTCTCCCACTCTTATCCTTCCCTCCCTCAACTCAACATCCATTGTAGGATGACATCCAAGAACAAATTAAGCACCATCTTAGGATGATTGACATTAGCACTTAATCAAACAACAACATGATTAAGAAATTCTTAGCCAAAAAAAAAAAAACAATCAAGTACGTAGGCTCACATGCAGAAAAGCAAGAACATGGCCAAATAAGCAGTCACTGCAGATGTTAATGAGTTGTAAAATAAACGAAATATATATGTTTAGGTAATTCATGCTTATTATAGATGAGACAATGACGTAAAAAAACAATTGAAGTGGAAATGACACGAGATTGCTCACTTGAAAAGGCATTTAGGATCAAAGGGAGCATCAAG